ACCCCAGAAACGTGTGTGTCAACTGTAAGTGTGTCCGTGAACTCCATGACCTCTACAACGACAACCTGGTGGACGTGCGGGACCGCCTGGGCTGGCCGAGAGATGACGGGCAGGGCGGGGTGGCCAGGGACCCGAGCCTCACCGAGGGCTACACCTGGGTGCCCGGGAACCTCTCCAGTCAGAAGGTGAGCTTGTCCGTCTGTCTGTTTGTTTGTGTGTTCGTTTATTTGTTCATCTGTTTGTCCGTCTGTCTGTTTGTTTGCGTGCTCGTTTGTCATACATTGATGCAGGGGAAAAGTAAGACAGTTGGTCAGAAACAACAGAACCTCACCAGTTAGAAGGTGAGTTTGCCTGTCTGTTTTTTAATTTTAATAAAGGTTTTACGGCACTCGTAAATGCATAATAAGGTCATATGAGCGCCAGAAGATTAGAGGTATTACAAGAGAGTAACAAACATAAAAAAGACGAAGGGGAGATAAGGAGGATAGCTGTTTGATAGGAAAGAAGAAGCAAACCACACCAGAGCACCTCCAAACGCCCACTCCGTCAGTTTATTTGTTTGTGTGTTCGTTTGTTTGTTTAAGTAAAGAATGGTCATATATTGATTTTAGTTTTTAGTAAGGTTTTGAGGCGATTGCAGCTGCATCTGAGCACCTATCATTTATTGATGCAGGGGAAAAGTAAGGCAGATAGTCAGAAACAACAGAACCTCACCAGTTAGAAGGTGAGCTTGTCCGTCTGTTTGTTTGTTTGTGTGTTCGTTTATTTGTTTATCTGTTTGACTGTGTGTTTGTTTGTTTATATGTTTGTTTGTTTAAGAAAGGAATGGTCATCTATTGATGCAGGGGAAGAGTCAGGCAGATGGTCAGAAACAACGGGATCTACCAGTCCGAAGTTGAGCTTGTCCGTCTGTTGGTTTGTTTGTGTGTTCGTTCGTTTGTTTAAGTAAAGAATGGTCTTTTATTGGTTTCAGTTTTAGTAAGGTTTTACGGCGCTTGCAACTGCAAGGTTATATGAGCGCCAATCATTTATTGATGCAGGGGAAAAGTAAGGCAGATGGTTAGAAACAACAGAACCTCACCAGTTAGAATGTGAGCTTGTCCGTCTGTTTGTTGTTTGTGTGTTCGTTTATTTGTTTATCTGTTTGTCTGTGTGTTTGTTTGTTTATCTGTTTGTTTGTTTAAGAAAGGAATCGTCATTTATTGATGCAGGGGAAAAATATGGCAGATGGTAAGAAACAACAGAATCTACCAGTCCGAAGTTGAGCTTGTCCGTCTGTTTGTTTGTTTATTTGTTTGTTCGTTTGTTTGTTTATATGTTTGTTTGTTTGTTCGTTTGTTTGTTTATATGTTTATTTGTGTGATTGTTTGTTTGAGTAAGGGTGGTCATTTATTAACGCAGGGAGAAAAAAAAATAAGGCCAAATTTTGATCAAGGTCCATGTCTGGCCATGATAAGTCAAAGTGGGGATGAAGAGATAGTTAATGAGCTTGGCGTCGGTTTCAATGGGGGTGTTTGAGGACAGGAGCAAGCTGGTAGCTGTTATTTTATACTCTCGTCTCAATTTCTCTGTTTAGACGTCCGTCTTCCGAGAAAATACTGCCTTGATACTTGAACTCGCTGACTC